CCATGATGGCTTAGAAAAATCCATGATCTGCTGTAAAAAATGGTGGCAAGTTGGAGGCCCACAAAAGAAAAGGCCCAATTAAAAAATAGTAGCCTAGAAAAGGAAAGGTCTATGATGGTCTAGAAAAATCCATGATGGCCTATAAAAAAAATCTGTTGTAAAAAAAAAAAAAAAAATGGTGGCAAGTTGGAGGTCCACAAAAGAAAAGGCCCAATTAAAAAAATAGTGGCCCAGAGAAGGAAAGATCCAAGATGGTCTAGAAAATCCATGATGGCCTAGAAAAAAATCTACTGTAAAAAAATGGTGGCATGTTGGAGGCCCACAAAAGGAAATGCCCAATTAAATCTTGGACTTTACTCATGACCCTTAAAAAAAAATAAAAAAAAATAAAAAAAAATAAAAAAAAAAACAAAAAAAAACAAGTCCACAAAAAGGACTCATGCAACAAAAGTACTATAAAGGGCAATTAACCCTTTATTTAAAAAAAAAGAAAAAGAGGTCAAGTCCATAAAAAGGACCCATGTAACAAAAGTAAAAGGGCCCATGAAAAAAGAGCCGTCAACCCAAAAAAAAAAAAGAAAAAAAAGGCCAGGGATCAAAGCAAAGAAATAATCCCATCCAAGACCTAAAGATCATCCAGATAAAAGTGCCAAATTGTCGTGACTTGCACAATTAAGAAAATTCACTTGTACAAGTCACGAGAGGCATTTGTTGGAACATAAATTTCAACTAAATTTATGACACTTATAGAGCCTATGATAGGAAGGTTGTAAGTAATCACTTCCTGAAAAAAGATCAACATGATCCGCTGAAGTACATAAATAAAACGACGTTGTATCTCAACGACGTTATTCAAGATGCTCAAAGGACATGTGGAGCCTACGAAAGATGACACCTGTAGAGCCTACAGCAAGGACACCACATAGGATGAAACCCCAAAGATCAATCTGGTTAATAAGATATACGATTAATCCGATAGCGCTATTATTCAAAATTTGAATGGCGCTATCATTCAATTTGAAATTCAAATTGAAGATGAAGCATTCTTATCACCTGATGGCCCTCCATAAATATGAGAACCATCACACAAGACGAGGGATCAAGAAATCAGAAGTGAAAAGATCAGAGAGAGAGAGAAAGAAATTGAGAGCTAAAGAAATCGTTACAAGAAAGAAGAAGAGAAGCCTAGAGAGCTCAAGAGCCGACGCTAATGGCGATGAATAGGTAAAAGGTTCCAAACTCAAGAATTGTATTTTGTATTCGAGGGTTCAAAACCCATAACAATTTCAATAAAATATTTATTTTTCTTAAATTGTCTTTTGTTGTTTATTTTGTTCTTCATTAATCGGAGGTTTCATTTGTATAAAATGTGTAATTAACGATTTGAAATACAGATCGGAAATAAGAACATGCTATTCAAATAATCAACACTGTTTAGTCCAAAAACTAAACAGTGGACATTTGTAACATAAATTTTGAAATGTGTTGAAACACTTTATGTTTTAAAATTTGTGTCTACAGTTCTCCTAGTAGAATTGGAGAGATTGCACAAAGAAAGAATGGAAAAGGCTGCCAAAGAAGTAAGAGGGAAAAAAGTTCAAAAGGCTGCCAAAGAATTGAAGAAAGGTTCATCTGCTTCAGATGTGGTACTGAAAAAGAAAAAGCCAAGGCCATTGTGATAGATGGACTTAAAAAGATTGGAAGGAAGGCCTTAGGTTCAATACTATGGGAAGTGGTGATCTACAGATATTTGATAACAACTATTTGTTTTATGATGGGTCAGATCCAGGAATAGTTGGCCCTGTAGAGAATTATGGGGAGGATGATGCTCCATTTTTGTTTCAAGGAGCTCCTGTCCATCCATGTTTTGGTGGATCAAGTAATATTAGAGCTATGCTAAAACAACAGAGAGGTTCTAAATCATATGGAACTCCAAAGGTATTGACAAGGCCATACAATGGCCAGCAACAACATTTTGTGAAGCCTCATAATGGCCAACAACAGATTGGAAGGCCATACGGGGGACAACAACAGTTTGTGAGGCCATTTTGGGGGTCTCAACAGCAGTATCATGGTCCAAGAGTGAGGCCAGATATGCAACCAGTCCAACCAAGAATGGTGAAGCCTCCAGTGCCACCTAATTTAGGATGGCTAGGGAGAGTTCACCCAAAATTTCCTATGGGTGGCTGGAGACCTATGGGAGAGAGAAGGACTCAAAAAAGAAGAGAACAAAGGAAGTTCCATGCCATGATGTCCAGAGCTGCAGGAGATAAAAGAATTGGAAGGCAAGATTTAGTGTGGACTAGAGATGGTTTGATTCCTGCTTCTTCAGTTAGGGAAATGAAGGGGTCAACTTCAACTTTTAGAGCTCATCTAGTGCAGCCAATTTAGATTTTAAAGAGGAAAATGGAGCCAGAAAAAGCAGCTGACAAGACTGCTGAGAAACTTTCTAAAAAATGATTGCAGAGGGTTGCGGCTAGTTTTCCATTGGTGCCAGGTTAGCTTGGCCCTGTCGAGCAACAGAGTTTCTGTCTGAGCAATAGGGAAATAGGGGGCCACCTCATCAGGAATAGTATTATGGATAAAGGTTGGTCCTAATTCCCTTTTAGCAGAGGAGTCTCCATGATTTATGCAGCTATCAAATTTGTGAGCTTGAATCTTCTCCCTAATCTCAGGAGGAAAACGAAGCACTGGTTGAGATTCCGGAGTCTCTGGTTGTTTGGCTTTTGATTTCTTGGGTGCCATTGTTAGGGTTTGTTTTGCAGAAATTGAAAGGATGCAAGAGATGGTGCGAGAAATGAAAAGGCAGGAATAGAGCTTAGATTCAAATTCTCAAGTTTATATTGTGTGGGTATCTCCGCATTGGGCTACACTAGTTTTTGGGCTAAGGCCCAATTATTTTGATAAATGGATCATATTCAAGGTTTTAAAAAGCAGCCGCAACCGTTACGTAATGCCGTTAGGTAACGGTTTTGGCGGTTACCGCCACCTGTTACGGCCGCTTTTGCAGTGTGATTGAGATTCACAGGTGTGTCGGCCGTAACGGCTGCCGTAGCGGTCGTAACGGTGCCGTAACGGCCTGTTACGCACCGTTACGTAATGGTTCCAAACTGTTTCTTTCGAAAAAACACACAAAAAAAAGCTGAAAATGGGGGAAGAGGGATAGAGAGAAGAGGGAAGATAAAGAGAGAAAACGGAGGAGCAAGAGATAGAGAGAGAAGAGGGAAGATGAAGAACATGCTATTGATTTGTTGAAGTTGTAAGACTTATGCTATTCTATTCAGCTGCTATCACTAAACTATTTTGTTTGTGTGTGCCTATTTATATATTGTTTGAAAATAATAATAATAATAAGTGTGGTCATTATCTATTTGACTTGGTTAAAATATGTATATATATATATTTAGACTTTTATTTATTCTCTTACTTTTGTCATTGTTTATCTTATATATAATAGTTAGTGATTGATTTTTTGTATAATATAAAGTTATTAATTATTAAAATAAAATGTAAAAACTCAATTTATAGTGATTTAAAAATATGAAATATATTGGATCATACTTAAAAATTTACAAAAATTGATCAATATTTATTTTTAACCCAATAAATATGCTCATGGAAAAAAAATATGCGTACTGGTAAGTTTTTTTCAAATTGTGCGAAAAATAAAAAAATTCACGGTTTCGGTTACCGCAACCGTTACACTACGGCCTTTACACCCCGCAACCGCAACCGCAACCGCGTCACCGCCACCGTTACGCCGACTGCAACCGCTTTTCAGAACCTTGATCATATTAATATTAAGTGGAGTCATATTAATATTGAAAGTCCATCTTTAAAAAAAAAAAATAATAATAAAACAGTATTCATTCAAGACAAAACTAGTTTTATTCTGAATAAGGGGGCATTGTTGACACCAAAAAAATTTAAAATTCTCTGTCGACATAGGCTCGAACACGTTCAGAAGCGGGCCAAGAATAAAGGAAGTAAAGTTAGTGGCCTAAGAAAGAGGAATAAGGAGGCAATACATGGCAGTAGCAGGAAAAAAGAAAAAGAAAAGGGAGTTCAGAGGCAGTTGCAGTTCATGGGCAGTTATTGGAGCATGGCAAATGGGCACATGGCAGCACAACATGGCCATTGAAAGTCATATAAAGGTGGAAGTTCAAAGAGAAAAAGGGCTCTTCAACAAAATTCACAACCCATGTGGAATTGGGAGTAGCATAACTAAATTAGGAGTAGCTCTTGTACTTAGGAATAGTTTGCTTGTAATTCAGTCATTGTAGCCAAGTTTGCCTCTGTCGATTGTTGTGCATTTTGAACTTGTAATTTAATTCTTGTAATTAAGTGACAAGTTTACTTGTTCTTCATTCAAATTTCAGTTTATTCACTTGTTTCTTCACATTACAACTTCCAAAGAAGTTCTTGAAACTATCAAGGCATAGAACATCAACCACAATTGCCTGATCTGTCGTTGTTTGTGAAAATTTAGTTTCTCTGTCGAATCTCCTCTATCGATTTGACCCAAACCAGATTTTTGCTAACAGAACTACTTTACAAATATATAGTTGCCTAATTCTAAAACATTAGTGTTTGTTGTAGAAACAATATCATGTCAAATTCCAGGAGAATACAGAAGACGTGTTCAGAATAGAGAAGTGCAAATATGGAATTTGGTACCCTACCTCAGACACATACAAGTAGTACTTTCTTTGTAAGAATTCCATGCTTCATGAAAATTTTGGAAAGTGGCTCCCTTTTTATGTATTTATTAAGCCATTTTCTAGGCAACATGTAAAACATGTTAACCTCATTGTCTCTTTAGCAACTATTCAATGATAAAGCTTTTAAACATTGCATTGCAGAGATTATCATAGATTGTTCATTCAGGATTGTGGCCTCACTTCCTTTTTCTGCTCTTATTTGGTCCAACAAATGAATATGGATTATGGTCTATAAGGCCGCATCATTTTGCTTCTAAACACTGGCTTGTTGTTTTGCAGATTTCGTTATGTCTGATGCTCAGAAAGAACATGCTTCAACTGTTGAAGATCTGGTCCCAAATTTTGCAGCTTTGAGGCATCAAACCTGCAGTTCTTTGAGTGAAGAAAATTTTTGGATGATATATTTTATTTTGTTGCTCCCAAGACTGCATGAGCATGATGCCAAGCTTCTATCAACACCTGAGGCAAGATTGTCTTTACATGTCTTGTAATTTATTGTTACTTGTAACTCCCTTGATGGTGAAACCTAATACAATATGAACTCTTTAGTGGAGCATCCAAATAGACACGGTAACCGTATTATGATTAATACAAACAGACATAGAATAGAATCTAAGTACGGACATTTCTAAAAAAGGTGGCGTGTCAGTGTCATGTCCTTGTTGGACATCGACACTTGTCGGACACTTTCCCAACTTGTGTCCGACACTCATCCAAACGTGTCTTATTTTTTTAAAAAGAGTTTAGACTCGGACACTCTTTAGACACTTGGAGGACACACATGCCCATTGCTTGAACACACGTGTCCATTCACACATGAAACTAATTACAAGTTTAAACAAAATAACTTAGAATACGATGATAAAAGAAAAATAATGTCAATTTATAGAAATTAGTATTATATTGTATTTATTTATTGTCTTAGAATGATATATACATATATATGACATATAATAAATATATAAAATTTTATATTCTGTGCGTGCCCCCCACCTGTCGTGTCCTTTATTTTTTAAAAATTGTCGTGAGGGTGTGTCCGTGCTTCTTATATAGAATCCTTATTATAGCATTAATACGCAGAATCTGTAGGCTTAAAAATATGCTTAATGCTGTGTTTGGTTGAGGGATTTGAGAAGGGATTTGGAAAAGAAAAGGAAAAAAGTGTGTGAAATTAAGTAAAATATAGGTATATTTTATTCATATTTCACCTTCTTTTTCCATTTTCTTTTCTAAATCTTTTCCCAAATCCCCCAACCAACACAGCGTAAGACTTTTGCCAGGAAAACTAGTGTCCTTTTTTGGGTAACAAAGATCCATTCAGCATAGAATCCCTAGGGTTCTTTTTTGATAACTGTACTATAATTTTTGGCTGTGAAATGTGCTTAAGATGAGGTAGGATCATTCACGTGGCTTGCATATTTCTAGTCTCTGCATTTATTTATCTTTTTTTGGATACAAAATGTCAATTTTATTGAGGAAGAGGAAAGTGTAATAGGGGGCTCTGAATAGCACGAGGAGTGTAAGAGAGATTTGCTTCATAATTTTCTGATACAAAGGATAAAACCACTTTTGCCTGATTTTCGAGAAAAAAAGTTTTGTTGTTTGATACAGAAGTCCATTCAGCATGACATAGATTTGGTAACGATACAGTTTTTTTGCCTTGAAACATGCTTAAGAGTTAAGACAGGGCATATATGATCCTTCACATGGCTTGCTACGTATTGCTAGCCATAGAATTTATTTTTTCCCCATAATTTTGGATAAAAAACCTTTATGTTTTATTAGGGAGAGAAAAGTAATCAAAGGGAATCCAAAAAGCATGATGAAGGGGAAAAAGAACAGTCAAGTATAGAGACCACTCCTAAGAAGCACAAACATAGACACACGACACGACACGGATACGCAAATTTTCAAAAAATGCAAGACATGACACGTTAGGGACATGTGCAAAATATATAATTTTACAGATTTATTACATTTCATATTTTTAAATAATTAATATTTATTTTATGTTAAATATTTAATTTTATCAAATTTATCAATCTTGGATTTGTTATTTTAGTAAAAAAATTAAAAATTTTAGTTGTTTTTGAAAAAAATGGTCCTCAGGATGTCTCCAGGTGTCCGAACATGTCCGATTCTTTCCAATGTGTCCGGAGCATGCTAGTGTCTGACACATGTTGGACACCTGAACGTCACCTCCGGAGAGGTGTCATGCTTCATAGGACCACTCCAATATCACATAAACTCCTGTAAGTAGTATAAGAGAGATTTGCCTTTTGATGCTTGATAGAAAGGGTAGAATCACTTTTACCTGATTTTCAAAAAATATGAAATTGGGATAAAGATTTTCTGTGGGACATCAACTTTTTAATCAGGTATCATAACCAACTGGAACATTTTTGAGACCGAAGCTGATGTGGTAAGCAACTGAAACCTTGAGATTGGAATTGATCTCTGCCTGAACAAAAAGGAGCCAAAAGGGAAACAAAGGTTATATAAATAGAGAGTGGTACTGATGGTTGGTTTAGGATCTTATGTGCCTCATTCAAATGTATGTATTTGGCCATTGCGATGCATCTTACGCAAGAAAGTTTCACAATTGCAGATTGTTGAAGCGAGACGGATACTTTTGCAGAAGCTGCACGAAAACAGGAACACACCAGTAGAGGAGACTTCTGACGACTCCCCGACCATTAATTTGTCTCAGGAGGGTGAAAGGGCCGATAACACACAAGGACATGACAGCCCATCTCAGGGAAAGGAAGTTTTGGCCGAAAGTGCAAGTGAAGAACGAGATGTGAAAATCCACCATGAGAATACCGATCAGTGGTTAGAAGAGGAAGATGTCGATGATGCGCCTACCTCCTCTGCAGCAGATGCCCAGAAACAGCCAGAAACTGAGGAGGATGTCTCATTCAGCGACCTCGAGGACGATGATAACGATCTCTCTGGTAGATTATCATCAAGGTTTAAGCCGTCAGGGCATGAACGGGTTGCTTCGCCCAATGGATCGAACGAATGGGTTCGGCTCAATGAAAGTTCTGGAACTCGGGACAGTGGTTTGAAAAACATGGGATCGACTTCTCGAGAAAAGGATTCAGAAGGTGAGGATTCAAACGATTGGCTCACTGTTGATGATGTTGATTCAGACAGTGTGGTGGCTGTTTGAATCAACTCTTTCCTTCAAACTGTGTTTATTAATTTTAAAACCCTATGAAAAATAAGCTTTTGTTTAAATTAAATTATGAATCCATATTGAAAAAGAAAAAAGAAAAAAGAAGTTTGAATTTGGTGTTTCTAGGTCATTTGTGCTGTGTTTTTTAGTTTAAAGTTGTACATATACTTCATTATTATTGTGTTCATAAAGAAGTGAAAGTTGTTCCAAATTGCAACTAAATGCATTTTCTTTGCATCTTCAATATATGGTTCATTTGTAATTTTTAACCCATTTATATATATGTTTTGGAAATTCTGAATGGTGATCGCATTTAATTACTATCTTTGTACCAAATTATTTTTTTGGCAAGAAAAATTAGAACTAAAGAATATTGTATTCGTGTCAATTTTAATTTTAATTTTAATTTTAATATATATATATATATATATTTTTTTGGGGACAAATTATCAGTACTAGATGAAATCTTTTAACTAGTGATTTCTTTTTATTCTTTTGAAGATATCAGGATGAGAATACATTTTGATTTCTTATTATATATGCTGGATAAACAATTAGGGGGCAGAGGGACATTTGGATATTATTTGACGTCGCAAAATAGTATTACACAATTATTAGGTCAAAAATCTTAATTCAGTTTATTTGATTAATGACATAAAATATCACATCAAATGTGAGAAGAAAGAAAGGAAAAATCTCCCGAGTCTGCCTAGCTTAAGACGAGAGAAATGAAATTTTTTATTATTATAATACTTCTTTTTTTTTTTTTGAAATCTCTTCAAGAAGTGAAAGAGATGAATCTTTTCATTTTTACTTTCTTACTCGCATAACGAACTCTCTTTTTTTCTTCACCCCTCTATCTTTTCCCTTTCTCTTCTCTCTTAAATTGGGCAATTATCCAAACAGGGGAAAGTGTTTTCCACTATAGTTTTTTTTTTCCCCTTATCCTTATCTACCAGTTTCCAAACAGACTATCAAAACCTCAATGACTGTACAAAGAACACGCAATGAAAGATTTGAGTGGAGTTTTGTACAAGGAAAGGGAAATAAAAAGTGAAACCTCAAATCTTTTCCTGTTGGATCATTCACTTTTCCCTCCACAAATCCTTCCTCAAATCTTTAATCCAAACACAACATTCATTTCACATATTGGAGATCAATTACCAGTTGTTCTTCATCCAAACACACCTTAAAACAGAAAAAAAAAAAACAAAAAAAAGGTTAACTATTGCAACTGCATATAAGCCATGATTTCCTTTTCTGTACATGGATTCTTCTTCTGTTGTATACTTCACAAAATCTCAAGGTTCCAAAGAAAATCAAATAGATGATAACAAGGCCAAAACTAACGGAATTTGACAAAGATAATGCTGTAATGAATGGAGCACCACCCAGATGCACAATGAGAGTAATTTCTTACAACTAAAAGTTTGCATCTCACCTAGAGTTATGTTTTATCATGCCAAGGCGGGGCTCCTTCACGAGTAACATGTTCGATATTGTGGACCGGAATGACTGAAGCTGACTGCTCGGTAGATCTGGAAGACAGGGAGGGAGAGGTAATAGCACAATAGTAGGCCAGATTACCATGTAGAGTCTAAGGTAGTTCTGGAAGACGGGGGGGTAATAGCACGACACTGGGCCGGACTACCATGTCGAGAGACTGAAGCAGCCAACTGCCCAGTAGATCTAGAAGGTGGGGCAATAGGGCCGAACGGACTGGAGATCGGAAATGTACCGCGGTTTGCACGATGGTCGACGATGACAGTGTCTTTCCTCAGTTCATTATGCATCTCTTCGAGCTCTAGTTGCTGGGTACGCACCAATGTTTCTTTACTAAGGTCAACATGAAGAGACTGAGCCACGCATAAAATAAAATAAAATAATGAAAATCTAATACTAATTCAACATGAAAAAACCAAGCAATATATAATTTAAACATCATTGAACATACAAAATATTATTTCATCAATCATAAATCATAAACAAAAATGTCAAATGTATTTGAGTTCAGTAATGAATAGATCATCCATAAAAATACATAAATCCTTATTATTTTGTTTTAAGACTATAGTGTTAACATTTATCAAAGGTTTATTCCAAAAATTCCACAGGACCTACGCAAATAGAAGTAGAGAATATAAACAGTAGAAATTGTCATTCTTCCTATAAAAAATTGCTTTAGAATCTAGAAAGCTTGGATAATTCTAGATCATCTCACTGACTCACCCCTACTATAGAGCGAGTGCCCATTATTATAGAGAAGGAAGCATTTATAGTGATCAGTTCTCGTCTGTCAGACTGTCACACACAATAGCACTACATTCAACCAAACCTTCCGGTTATTATAGACCAACGCTCGAAAGGAGATAAAAACCTGGCAGTCGACAAATTTTTTTTTGATCCCATCATTCTCTGTTTCAAGTTGTTTAATCCTTCCTTCCTTGATCAACTTCTCGTCCAAGTTGCTCCACTGTTACTTTCAATTGCCTGATCTCATTCTTTTGAGCCAGGATATCTATAGCATGGCATTTCAATTTGTCATCTGATATTTTCCTAGCAGATTCATCAGTGTTCAGCCTTTCAGCAAGATGATTCTTCTCTTCTTCTCAAGGTTCTGAAAAGTAGTTGCAGTCACCGTAACGGTGGCGGTGGCGTGGTTGCGGTTGCGCAGTGTAAAGGCTGTAGCATAACGGTTGCGGTAATCGAAACCATGAATTTTTTTATTTTTCGCACAATTTACTGATACACATATTTTTTTTTCATAATCATATTTATTGGGTTTAAAAATAAATATTGATCAATTTTTGTAAATTTTTAAGTGTGATCCAATATATTTTATATTTTTAAATCACGATAAACTGAGTCTTTTACATTTTATTTTAATAATTAATGACTTTATATGTCATAAATACATATTACGCTTGTGGCAAAAAAAAAAAAAAATTATTGGACTTAGATGTATAAAATTATTTTTTTAATTATTATACTTGTGGAAGCATATGCAAATTTTAACTTGAATAGTTTTAAAAAATAAATTATACATGCTAATGTAATCATATAAAAATTAAAAAAATAAATTATAAAGAAAAAAAATTCTTTGAGTTTGGATCACTTGAATATTTATTTTCTTTTTGGATAACCTGTAAATAAAAATAAAATAAACTAATCAAAAAAAATTGACATGTATAAAATATGTATTAATATATAATTATACAAAAAAATCAATCACTAACTATTATATATAAGATAAACAATGACAAAAGTAAGAGCCTAAACAATGACAAAATAAGAGCCTAAATATATATATATTTTTTAATCAAGTCAAATAGATACTGACCACACTTATTATTATTATTATTTTCAAACAATATATAGATAGGCACACACAAACAAAATGGTTGAGTGATACCATCTGAATAGAATCGCATAGGTCTTACAGTTTCAACTAATCAATAACATGTTATTCATCTTCCCTCTTCTCTCTCTATATCTTACTCCTTCATCTTCCTTCTTACCCCATTTTCAGCTTTTTATTTTAATTTTTTTTTCTCGAAAGAAGCAGTTCGGAACCGTTACGTAACGGTGCATAACAGGCCGTTACGGCCCCACTACGGTAGCTGATATGGCCGACACACCTGTGAATCTCAATCACACCGCAAAAGCGGCCGTAACGGGTAGCAATAACCACCACAATCGTTATGTAACGACGTTACGTAATGGTTCCGGCCGCTTTTTAAAACCTTACTTCTTCTAGTCTCTATGGTCATTGTTAAAATTTATCAATAAACCTACCACCACTACCACCTCACCTACTCCACTAAACCTAACCCACTACACCACTA